TTAAAGCGCAATATATTTCACTCGTCTTCTCATCCATCGATTCAAACAATTGTTCCGCAAATCCGTTGTCTTTCCAAAGGACACGAGGAGTTGTGGTGTCGTTATTGAACGCCTTCTCCACAATAAATTCCAAATCCGGCGGTTCTTCGCAATTGTAAAACGAGACCAATTCTAACAATTTCTGAAGCGTTTCGGCACTAATTGTCTTCTCAGCGGTCGTTATATTCTTATAGCAAGTGATTGAATGCTTCACTTCTTTACGCGCAATGCATTTCTTGAGATCCGTTTCGTCCACTTCTGTGTTCTCGTCGTAAAACTCTTTGTAAGTGAAGGCCTCGACCTTCGGTTCCGACACATCTCGATAGAAGAGTTCGGGAAACTCTTCGAACACATAGTTAGCCGCCCGACGGCCCGACTCTCGCGATAACGAAAACAATCGCTAAACAATTTTTAGAGCAGTCATTAAGTTATTGGCCTATAATTAAGTGCTAATCAAATGGCAATACTTTTTGATGATTGCTTAGTGGTGTCAGAAACGGGTCATCGATGTATCGATAGTCGGGTCCACTAAAGTCCTGCACAAATCAAATAACCATTAAATTAGCAAACAATCCAAGAAGTGAATCCAAATGGTGGGCAAACCTTTCCGGTCACTTCTGCCAAAGCCTTCAATATATCGGTCGGACCTCTGGTTTGTGTCCAATAGAAAGTGTTCAAAAGATAAGACAATAATTGTGGTTAAAATGAATGAATGGATCAAACCTTTCGATCCGTTTTGGTATTTGAATCACTTCCGCATTTTGATGGTCTCTTTGGCCCACGTTTTGCGTTGAATATGAATATATCGATGAAGTCTTGTTTGCTTTCAAACAATTGCTAATCAAATGCCGAAATAAAATCAATTGATTTGAAGACAATATCTTTGAAGCCATCGATTGATTGGCTTTTAATTGAAAATTTAATTTTAATAATAAATTTTAAAACTTTTCAAACCATTGAACACATGATTATTGTTTATATAGCTATTCATTAATGACGTCCACATCGAGTGATGGGTTGGGAAATAAAAACACAAAATTAATAAAAAGTAATTAAATTAACGTTTATTTTATGATTTAATTATCAATTCATGTAAAGTGTGATAAAATTAAACATATTATATGTTTAATATTAAATGAAATAATTTCTTGGTTATAAAAATATGTCTAAAAAGTGATGTTATTATGCGTTTACATGTCTTGCGTTGACCAGCGGTAGGCCTCCTCTAAAGTGGACTCTTTGTTAGCGATTCTGTCGAAGTGTTTCTTTTCGAAGCCATTGGATCGGTCGACGCCATCCCATCGATAGCCGGGCCCTATACTGAACCGATTGAGTGGTGGCGGCGGTCCCTTGTATTTGGGCATCACTTTCAGAGTGCCCTCTTGTCGCTGCTCTTCCACCCGATTCTTGCGCATCATTGCCAGCATCGGGTCGTCTTCGCGCTCCTTATCTCTGAGCAATTTATCCAAATCCACGTCTCCCTCATAGCGGGCCAACGGTTTGGACATCTCATGCATATCCGATTCAATCTTCTCCTGTCGTTGTTGATGTTTATATAGCTATTCATTAATGACGTCCACATCGAGTGATGGGTTGGGAAATAAAAACACAAAATTAATAAAAAGTAATTAAATTAACGTTTATTTTATGATTTAATTATCAATTCATGTAAAGTATGATAAAATTTAAACATATTATATGTTTAATACTAAATGAAGTAATTTCTTGGTTATAAAAATATGCCTAAAAAGTGATGTTATTATGGGTTTACATGTCTTGCGTTGACCACCGATAGGCCTCCTCTAAAGTGGACTCTTTGTTAGCGATTCTGTCGAAGTATTTCTTCTCGAAGCCATTGGATCGGTCGACGCCATCCCATCGATAGCCGGGACCTATACTGAAGCGATTGAGTGGCGGCGGCGGTCCCTTATATTTGGGCATCACTTTCAGAGTGCCCTCTTGTCGCTGCTCTTCCACCCGATTCTTGCGCATCATTTCCAGCATCGGGTCGTCTTCGCGCTCCTTATCTCTGAGCAATTTATCCAAATCCACGTCTCCCTCATAGCGGGCCAACGGTTTGGACATCTCATGCATATCCGATTCAATCTTCTCCTGTCGTTGTTG